AACAGCGCATGTAAAGTCAGTATCACATTCAGCAAAGAGGAATTATGGGAAACGCCAAGAATATTCATCATTTGCCACTTCTGGATGTATTGATTTGTTTCTGTGGATTCAAGTTAGCATCTGGATTCGTTTCCTTAGCCCAGCTAAGCTGTGTTCCCACCTACCTCCTTTGTGCTGTTAATGGAAAATATATTACTTTTCTATGAGTCATAGGCTCAGAAATCCATTATATACATATTGTTTTGTCTTATATAATTGATTTTTAAATTAGTTAAGAGAAGAAAAGATAAGAAATATACATTTATCTTCTCTTTCACAATTACATAATTTCCTTTATAGTGTTCTTTGTTTTCTTGTGTGGATTTGCAAAAATGAGATCATTTGCTTTTAGCCTGAAAAACTACCTGCAGTATTTTTCAAAGATGGGACTGTGAATAATACCTTCTTTCACTTTTGGTTTACCTTTTAATGTCTTTTTTCTACTTTCAATTTTGGACAATAGCTTTGCTGCATGTAGGATTCTTGGTTGACGGTTTTGACTTTGAGCACATTGGAAATGTTAGCCCACTGCTGTCTGACCTCCATTATTTCTGATGAGAATTTACTGTTTATTTTCTTGGGATTCCCTATAAGCAATGAGTCATTTTCCTCTTCCTGCTTTCAAGATTTACTCCATACCTTTGGCTTTCACCATTTTTACTATGACTTGTCTATTTATGGATCTCTTTGCATTTATCCTATGAGCTTGTTGAGCTTCCTTGATGTGTAATGTCTTCCAATATATTTGGCAAGTTATTTCTTCAAACACATTTTTTTGCTCTTGTCTCTGTCTCCTTTCCTGGTATTCACATTGCGTGTGTGTTGGTGTACTTATACTGTCTCATATTTCTCTGAGTGTCTGTTTATTTTTCTTTATTCTTTTTTTCTCTCTGCTTTTCAGATTGTACAATCTCTATCAATCTATTTTAAATTTTGCTAATTATTTTTTCTGCTTGTTCAAGTCTACTGCTGATCCCCTCCAATGAATTTTTCATTTCAGTTATTGAAACTTTCAACTCCAGAATTTCCACTTAGTTCCTTTTATCATTTATAGCTCCTTATTGATACTCTCCACTTGTTGCAACATTGTCATTATACCTTTCACTATGTCTTTAATCATAGTTTCCTTAAACATATTTATAATGCTACTTTTAAGTATTTATCTATTAAATCTGACATCTGGTCACTTACAGTCTGTTTTTTTCCCAATGTATGGATCCTATGTTCTTGCTGCTTTGCATAATGTTTTTGTTGGAAATGACATTATAGATAATACATTGAAGCAATTCTAGTACTGTTCCCTCCCCTCCAGGGCTTGTTATTGTTATTGACTGTACTATTTTTGTGAAGTATATCACCCATCTCACCGCCACCCACAACTCCATGAAGTCTCTGATGCTGTTCATCAAAACACACAGCCTTGGATAGCCCACATCACCCTCAGATGACCGTGATCTGGCAGGACATACTTTGACTGTCTCTTTCCCTGCCTACACCTACCTGTTAAACTGCAATAATTTCCAGCTAATTGCTTTATTGTTTTCAACAACGTCCTGGGCATGAATTGTTTAACAGACCAATCTAGTGAAATTTAGGCTGCTTTGAAGGGGCAGCTCCTAAGATCAGCACTTGAGATTTGCTCTGACCCAAGGAGTGCTCTTCCCAACTGTCTCTTTCCCTGGCTCTCCCTGGCAAACAGCTAGCCAACAATTTTGCCTATATTCCCAATGAATCTACCAATCTCTTATCAAATGTTTGTTCCCACAACCCCTGCTGGTTTGGAGAACTCCCCGAGGTTCAAATTTTTCCACACTCTGTTGCAAATGAAGTCATTCTTTTGGGAAAAGATTCAGAGCTTTCTAACATAGAGCCTGATTCTCCTTTCAGGCAAAATATATTAGCCAGGGTTCTGGTGCTAGGTGTGAGGACAATGGTGAGACATACAGCTTTGGAGCAGAGTGCTGAGTGCAAACTGTAGCCTCAGGTTTTCTCAGCTTGCCTCTCTCATCATGGAACCTCCACCTTACATGCAAGGAAAAGGACAAGCTTCTGTATTCTCAGTGGTGCTGTACCCGAGGTAGAGTCTCTGTCCCATGAGTGGGGGCTGAGTAGAAGAAAGGAGCTCCCATCTGTCAGTCACACTTGCTCAGAACTTAGGTTCAGCAAGAGACAACAAGGAGCAGGGTGGGAAATGCTGTTGTCCTGCCCCTCCTAGGAAAATAGCCCTCTGACTTGGAGCTAGAATGAGAGGGAGTCTTGCGTTCTTGGTTATATAAGTCTGGAGTGGAGTTTCTATCTTGCTAAGATTCGAGAGAAAAGAAGGGAGTGGATCTTGGTTCAAATACCATTGACTCTTGCTGCTCTTGCCAAGTTTTAGTAGATTGTCTTGAATGAATACTTTTGCATTTACTGTATGCCCTTAGATCCATTTCCAGAGGCTTTAAATGGCTGGTTTTTTTTTTTTTTTTTAACATTTTTTATTGGTTTCTCTGGGAAGCAGGTTCGCGGAGCTCTCCACACTGTCATACTGGAGGTAGAGCCCTCCACATTGCCTTATTTTATTTTTGAAAACTTTGAAATACTTTGAAAATAAAACCTCTGTGAATTAAATATTATTGTCTTTATTTTATAGATAAAGAAATTATTCTTATTCCACATCACAGTTCATTGATGAGAGAGGATTTGAATCGAGTCCTTACAAATGCAGACTCCAAAGCTCCCTCTCTTAGTATATTACACTAACTAATTTAATAGCAAAGAAGGGATATAGAAGAGAAATGATTACTTCAGGGAAACAGATTTTGAAGTACAGAGACTTATTATATTAAACATCTTAGTGAGCAGTTGCTTTGAGTACTGAGGGACTATCTGGTAATAAAGATTACTTAATAGGTTTGTTGCCGAATTAATACAAAAATGAATTGCGGTGAGGGAAATTTTACTGGCTTTGCCCTTTCCATTTTTAATTTCACTTGATGACCATTTTAAGATAAGATATGACAATTTTGTAGATTATGAGAAGAAATTTTAGGTAGAAACACTGGAAGTAAATAATCTGAAAGACAAGAGTATACAGGTAAAAAATCAAGTCTAAGAGCAATTAAGTCATTAAGAGCATTCATAGGTTTTATAGCAACCTCTGATATTTCAAGACAATAGCAAGCACGTGAATAAATAAGCAACCAGCTTGCGAGCACTACGTAACTGCTTAAACCTTGACTACCTTTTATTATTTGCAAACTCTCATGAATTAAACAATAAAACAATAATCATTAAACAATGATTATTTTAATTAATGTATAATTATAACTGTTATGTTTTCTAGATAATTATGACATATAATATATATATTATCCATAATCTATTTTATGTAATAAAACATATAATAATATATAATTATGATCAGTATTATAAAGCATACATTCTGTGCTAAGGTTATTGCATACTGTAAATTTTGCTAAAATTGTATTTTAATTAATAATTCAAATAGCTATAATAAATATATTTGGTTTTACTTTCAGCGTTTATTTATTCTGAGGAATGTTTTTAAAGTATGAAAGGTTTTTTAAAGATTTTTATTTTTAAGAAACTTTATACCTTTATATGGATGAGGTCTACATGCTTAGCAACTTATAGTAAATGGCATCATGCAATCTGATAGCAGTTACTGAAATTACTGGCATTATAGTTAGGACAGTTTATCCAAATATGATGCTCAGACCATCTGCAAGAGAAAGTCCTAAAATCCTCCTTACAAATATAATCTCTAAGCCCCACGCTGCACCCTTCAGATCAGAATCTCTGGCAATATGGCCCAGGAATCTACAGTTTTAATCATGCACTCCCCAGGTGATTCTTACACGTATGAATACTCAAGAACCATGGAGCAAACAAACCAAATCCTAATAAATGTACCCTAAACATCCAACCTATTCCCCAAATGTTAAATATCATACAGGGATAACGTAAAAAGCCTCAGAAGGAGATAAAAGAGCAATCAGAGAGGTAAAGGGGTAATTACTGATAAAAAGTTTCTTTGCCAGTATTCAGAGTTAATATGTAAAAGACTACATAAGTGAAGTAGAATATAGAAATGGAAAAGAGCTTTTATTTGGTATAAATACACTATAAACCACATACATAATCAGAACAAATAAAAAATACATTTAATGTGTGAACAAGAATAATTATAGTCCCTCAATCAGTCTTGGCATATGATACGGTAGTTTAAGTTTGATATTTCTGTTTTGACAGTAGATGTATAAAGGAGATGAAAGGCAAAAAAAACACAACTGATTTCTCCTTTTTTATGTTAGGTTAAGTGGGTAATGGCATATGGAAGAACTAGAATTTAATCAAAAGTCATTTAAAGGAAAGTGCTGGAATTATTCACTTTTTACAGGTACTAATTATATTTTCACTCATGCTTCTCAGTATTTCAAAATAAAATTGCTCTTCATTTTTATGCCAAAACATCTTTACAAAAATTGTTACAGATTATTTCCAATACCTTTTGCTCAGCCATTTGGCATCATCACTATTCAGGCAACAGTGTTCATATGGTAATAGTTAAATTTGCTTTTCACTAGGGCCCTCTCATCCAAAGTTTTCATTTCCAGCCTGCACATGCTGAACTCTAGAAAGTGTTTTAATTATTTTATTTAAATGTGGGTACTTCTAATTCAATCAATATCAGATATGTTGCCTGCTTAAGGAGTGGACCTTACTCTACAAATATAAGATTCTTTAGATCCTATTTATCAGGCTACAGTTAGTCAGCAAGGCTTGGGTTTGAGTTTCAACTCTGCCTCTTCTTAGCTGCATGCCAAGAGTGTTAACCTCTTTGAAACTCACTTTCATCATCTTGGTTTGTGACCCCCGGAGTTTCCCAGATGAAATTTGAAACTGGCCCCCATCCATGGAGGGCAAGGAGAGACTGAAGAAAGAGGCAGACCACTCTATATTGGTAGGTGGTAGGTTTAAGAAGCAAGGGAACTTACATGAAGACTTGTCTTGCACGGCCACAAGAAGAGTAAATTTCCGCACCCGCCTGCCAGAATCTTAAAAACATACAGAGGTCTTAATAGGGTTCAGTCACATATACTGTCCAGATGGTCTTAACAACACACTGCTCTCTCAAGGGTCCATCCTTGAAATTGGCTCCCGCTGTGGGAATGATGGGCAGAACATACATTCTGAGGACAGGGGAGGGGATGGGGAACGTCTGATTGCCCAGGTGCAGCTCGAGGGTCAACCGGCAGTCACGTCTTCTCGATGGCCACTTTCAACACCTCATCTCTAAAATGAAATAACACTTACTCTGCATCAGTGTCAAGATTTAAAGGAGTTGATCGAGCGCAGAGCAGAGCGCTTGGCACATACTGATTGGTTATTATTGCTGTCTAACAAATAACCCCAAAACTATAGAAACAAACATTTCACTTTGCTTCTCATGTTACAGATTTAAATTTGAGGAATGCTTGGCTGGGCCATTCGCCCTAAGGGTCTCTGATATGGCTGCACTCAGATGTTGGTTGGGACACAGTCAGACGAAAGTCTGTCAAAGACGGCTCTCAAATGCTGACACTTGGAGTTGATTATAGGCTGGAGGCTTAGCTGTTGACCAGAGTGTCTACTTTTGTAGCATTGTGGTATCAGTATAATCAGACTTACTACATGGTTTCTGACTTCTCTCAGAGTGAGCTTTCCAAGAGAGCCGGGTCGCCAGCTTCATGGTCTTTTCTGACTGGCCTTGAAGTTAGAGAGCTCACATCTACTAAACTCTGTTAATTATAAGAGAGTCTGGCCCAGGTTCAAAGGGAGGGAATTATAAGAGAACCTGGCCCAGGTTCAAAGGGAGGGGACTTTAGACTCCAAATCTTGATGGGGCAAAGTTCAAACAATTGCTCTTAAAATCACCATATAATACTGCAGATTTGAGATATGCATAGGCCATGAAATTTCGGTTAATTTTCTCTCAAGTTTTCCTATTTATATACCAGGTGTATATAATATATTGGAGGTATATATGTATGTATTTATATACTTTACTTATTATATACCTTTATAAATAATTTATACATAAATTCTCCTAATATCTACATCTATTGGTCAGGTATAGATATTAGAAGTATTCACTTACAGGTATCAAGTATTAAAATAGATTATTAAAAGATTGGTATATCTTCCAGAGGATTGATTTTTTAAACATAGGCGTTTAATTATAGACAAAGGCACTAACTAGAAGATGTTAAGATCTCTGGATGTTAAGATGCTAAGATCTGTAGTAATCTAAGCGTTCTATGAAACTACATTCTGAGAAGAAAACATTATAAACAAAGAAACTTCAACTGTGACTTTCAGATATTGCTTTCCAAAAGAGCAAGCTGAAGATACCTTGCAAGGATTCCTACCTTATATCATGTATGTTCTTTTTTGTTCCACCGTATATTAACTTTCAACTTTGATTTGTACCCTAGTGTTCTAACACCCTGATTCTCCATGGAATTGCTAGAGTCATCAATAAACCACAGAGATTGAAAGCAGAGCTACATGTTTCCTTCACGAATGTGATAAATTTCTAGATGGTAATCTAGCTTGCTTGTCTCCCATAAATTCAAAATATGAGCATTCAGATCTGGAGCCTTACCTGCGATACCAGATGACTATGGGGCCAGAGCTGCCCATCGTGAGCTGAGTATTATAAAATCAGCCAGGCCATAAAGTCCAGTGGGCACAGCAACAATCCTGTGTATGAAAGGGAACAAAGTTTTATTTGGTTTCAGACTTGAGCAGGTTCAGAAAGAACAAGCAAATTACATGAAGAGACTCCCCTGAAAACCATCTCTGCTGTACCAATGCCTCTCACTCAGATCATAACCTTCTAGATGTTGACTGCTCTGGCGTATGCTGAGATTCACCACCCAGATCTCCCTTCAGGAACAAAGGACTCATTATCCCACACACTGTAATGACCAGCTCTCAGCTGTCAGCCCTTTTGGGGATTGCCTTAGCTGGATAAAGCTTCCTTTCCTAAGATCACTCCCCTCCTTCAGCAGCCGACATTCAGTGACCACTGGCAGAGGCATATAAATATCTGGTTCTCTTGTCCCGGCTCAGGACAGCTCTCAGGAGTCTCCTGGTCTTCAGTCTTCTCTGCAGGGCTGACGGAGGCACTCCAGAGATACTGCATCACAGCTCCCTTCTCTGCCCAGTTGTGCCTCACCCCTTCTCCTTCCACAGATACTGTCCTCAAGAGCACACTCTAATAATCCCCCTGCACGTTAAATGCCTTTAACCGAGTGTGCATCCTGGGATACCCAACCTGAAACAATTATGATCAACTGACAGAGGAGGAAAAACTCAGGTCTGGTCCATGGATGGGAAGATGTAATACATCAGGACTAGCAGGAAATGTACTGCTGCCACACTGCAGCCTTCCACAGAGGTGTCCTCAAAAGACTGAGGTGAATGAGATTGTCTGTGTTCAAAATTGTGAGCAGTACAGTTTATTGTTTACCATGTGTGGTGGGGATAGTGGTTTGAGTTATGAATACACACTGACGCCTGTGCCTGAAGGAAAAACGATCAATGATCAGAAGCAAGGAAGTCTGGCGAAGAAGCAGGTAGATGGAACTCTGGAAGTGGCCATAGAGTAGGCAAATACTTATGTCTCGCATGAATGCCCCCTGACATGCATTCATCACAAAAGACGCACTCAACAACCAGCTGGACAAGATGATCCACCCTATTAGTGTCAATCGCCTTGTTTACTCAGCCCAGTGTGGTTGATGCAACGAGTTGTGAATGATGTGGCCGTCGTGTTAGGGACAGAGGCTGTACACGGACTACCTAGCATGAGTTTTCTTTCATCAAGAATGGTCTAGCTGCTGCCACTACGGAGTGCCCTCCACCAGAAGCAACCACCCCTGAGGAGACTAGCCAACCATCTGATGCCAACGTCCTTACTTTGGGCCTCTTCCACCTTGTACAGTCTTTACCAGACTTGACACCTGGGTTTTCCTTTTATAGCTACAGAGCCTCCTCTGGCACGATTGTTAGAGGATTTACCTAATGCCTGCCTATCGACATGGTATCACATACAGCATTGCCTCACGCTAACAGACTGGTTCTTGTTTTTTACATTTTAAGATGTGCCCTATTACAACTCAGATAGGACGAAACACTGAGCACGTGCTCCTTGGCATCAAGATCTGGTTCTGCGAAGAGAGCGGGTGCAGCGCTGGGGGCGGTCCTTCCTCCTCCCTGGGGCCACTGATGAGGTAGCCCCGTCTTCTGAGGAGGCTCCAGAAGAAACTTCTCTTTGGTCTGGGAGCTGGGTGGCATGTTTTCTCTTCTAGCTCTAATGCCATATTTTCCTCATTTTCACTTTCAGTGATGTCATTGAAACATTCATCTCATTCTGCAGGGGAATGTGTCCACACCCTGTAATAAATTCAGTGTAGAAAGTGTCATCTGTAGGGTCCAGGGAGACTCTTTTCACCATGGAGAACTGCTCAACATCCAAGACACCCTTACAATAAACTCCACGAGGATCGGACAGAAAGGGCGAGCTCATACACCTGCTTTCAGCCTCCTGAAGCTACTGTCTTTAAACACAGGTTCTCACTTTACTCCAGCTACTTCATGGCCCTTGTAGCCCAGTTGGTGCTTTGGATTCTTGGTGAGTAACTACAGTGCTCACTGTCTGAGCTCCAGCGGCAGCACAGACCCACTTCATCTGCCTCCTAGACTTGCTGTGAGGTGCCTGCCCCGAGGCCTGTACACACACTTCGCCCTCTCTCTCTCTCTCTCTCTCTGTGTCTTGTGCTCTCTGTCTAAACTCAAGCAGTCTTTATTCAAAGTTGAAAAACGTACCATACTGCACTATTGCAATTTTTTTCTGGTACAAAACACTTTGAAGCTGGTGAGAGGGCAATAAAAATTTGGTTTTTGAACCCATGACTATAAATTATTCTTGGATTTTGCAAATGCAGAATTTCAAACTGCATTTTCTTTTTCTAAGTTACCTAGACTACTTGAGGTTCCTGAAGCTAAGGAACAGCTAAGAACAGCTAAGGAAGCTAAGAACAGCTGTTCTACAGGAAGAAGAAAGGGGAGGAATAGGTAGCAAACATTAAGGGATTTCCACATACTTCGGGGCATCAGCCTAGCTCTTTCTGTAACCAAAAAAATAGCTCCTCACCAGTGTGGATGGCTCTCTTACTAAAAATCCCTATCCTGCGATAACTATTAACCATCATAACATTTGCATAGTAGTTTGAATTTACAGAATGATTCGCAAAAGGAATCTTGGTACCCTTGTGGGTTTCATCCCTCCCAAAATCATTATTTAGATTACAAAGAAAGCTGCACGTGCATTTATCATATACTTGCCCTCTTCTGTCTGCTTCATCTTGAAAAGAAGAATTCTTTACAGACCAGTTTTACAGCAAAAGAGACATAAGAATGGGTACCTATTCACAGAATGCATTAGACTTATTATGCACCTCATCACTCAGAAGCACTTTGCCTGAGTAGAATAGCTAACGGTAGAATAGAATAGGACTGCCTGGCAAAGGCACCAGTCAGATACGGCATCTTGTGAGGATGGCACGTAGACCTCCAAAATATGTTTTTGATTCTGAACCCTGAGGATAAAAGTCTAGGGTCACTCCACCGGGCACACAACTAGACTGTCTTGCCACATTTAAGGGAAATTCAGAATGGACCGTGGAGGAGAGGAGATACTGATTATGGCTTTAGGATTAGTTACAGCAGTGAGGGCTACAGCTCATTCAACTAACCCTCTTTTCTTAAGTCCTTGCAAGTTTGGCCACTACCTTGAAAGGGACACTGTAAAGGGAATGAAAGAAACCGAGGGGTGGAAGGGATGAAGAGTAGCAGATACCTCTTGGGCTCTACCTCAAATCCTCTCTACATCTTACTCCAGAACTACGGTGGTGACCAGTTCTTTGAAGGCTTCAACCAGCTTCCCACAGGTGCAACCTGACAGCGCTTGACTCAGGCCTGTGTTAATATCTCTCAATTCCTGCCTGGGTTTTTTGCTTTATGTTTGGTTTTGGGTTTGATGCACCTGCATGGGAAGTCTTTAAATACTTATACGTCATTCAAAACTGCAAGGGAGGATCAGTGAGGTTTCCCTTGACAAATGAGGGGCAGAAGCTAAGGATAGATGTTCCTTTTGATACCCAGTTGATCAATTCTGAAACACATACGAGAAAGCTCTTCAGAAGGAACCACAGAACTGAGTGTGGCCAACTCAGTCCCTGCATTGGCTTTTCCTCCTTCCTGTTCAACCCTCCACCATTTCTTCTTGCTTTCTGCAATCACTTGCTTCTTGTTTTACATCCATACATGAATTAACTACCTATACAGAAACCTTTGTCTTAGAATCTGCCTTCAGAGAATGTCTAAGAAAAATTACTATTAGGGAAGCCAAGGCCATGGTAAGCCAGAATGAAAAGTTTCTGAAACATGAAAGTTTGAACCACTTTGAGGCATTATATTTCTACACAGGGGCCTAGGAAACTTTATGTCAGGACTTACCCTGATTAAATTAGATTTGAAGCTTTTAGAAAACGATTTCATTCTCATTACATCTGATTCTAAGCCTGGAAACTATTCTCATATCAAGGTCTAAAAGGTCCAGCATATGAGGTCTCCAAGTCTGGAAGGATTTCAACCTGACACTCCCATTTATGTCACTAGGATGCGTACATGAAGATCCAGAGACAATACTTGGCTGGCCTTTAAACAAAGGAGGTCTCCTTGCTGTGGCAGATAAGCACTGACACACATCTTGTTTTTCTGATTTCAAAACACTTTCTGCTCATCTCTGAACATTTCTCAATAAAGCTTGAGAATCTGCTGCCCTAAAATAGAGCAAACAAATGAGTTTGAGGTCAAACATTGTTCCCAACTTCCTCTGAGTGGCACATTTTTTAAAACATTCCACTTTGGTATACAAATGTTTCTATGTTTTCTTTGAATAAACAAATTTTAAAACATCAAAGATTCTATGTTGGCATATTAGATTTAAAGATAAGATAAAATGTTTAATGCAAATATGATTATCAACAAATTTTAATCATTGAGAGTTTTAGATTGGTCCCAAATATGAAATATTATCATGCCTGAAAATTAAACCTGGATATTTAAAAAATTTTGAATAATTAAAAACAGCAGCTCTCCCTCTGTATATATGACTCCCTTACCAAGCAAATTTGGAGGATGATGAAATATTTGTACATTTTCAAATTAGATGGTATTGTTAATTGCATTAAGTTAATAATCAGAAGTTATAAGCTATCTTCAAATGTAAAATTCATCATTTTAATATTAATGTATCCTCTGACTAACCTGAATTTAGATGAATAATGATGGTGATGATAAAGATTATTATAGCCAGCACTTACGGAGCACTTTCTATGTCCCAACATTTTGCTAAGCACTACATATATTATCCCACTTAATTCTCAAACAACTGTATCAGGTAGATTCTGATGGCATCTCCATCTTGTAGCTGCAATTACACAGACTCAGAGAGAATTAAAAGTTCCACAGTAATACCCAGCTTGTAAATCATGAAACAGCAATGAAATGTATTCAAACAACCAAAATAGAGGGGGAAAATGGCATCATATCTCTCCAAGATATGCTTGAGTAACAGTGGCTTTCAATTTAGAGCAATGAGATAAGATTAAATGATACCAACTGATACTCAA